AGATTTTCTTTAGAGTATAGAAAGCTCCTGGATGTTTTCAAGCATGAATAACATTGAAAGAACTAGTTATTCTGTTTTTACAATGCAGTTGGATGAACAGTGATTGGCCCTATATCTTGTACAATTCATTGAAGAAAAAAAGACAACTAGACAACCTAGTGCATCAACCACTAACTATACGGAAAACTAATAGTTTTAGGCTTGTATCGTACCTTTTTGCACCACCTGCATCAGGTGAGACTATGATACAGTTTCTCCACTCCAAAATGTTCTCTTTAATCCACTGAAGCACTGCAGGTTCTGCATACAGGTTATCTACTGGAATGTCAAAGAAACCCTAGTCCAAAAGAGAAAAATATTTTCATGAATATATTTTTATGTCTTACCAAGAACAAAGACATAGGGCAAGAATCAAGCCTTTGCCTTTCATATTAGAACTCTAATTAGTATTTTACACTGGCCTGATTCTGCCCTCTGCTATTACCATCAAATGCAGTGGAAATCAGACAAATATTTAGGTCTCTAAAAATCTCACCCAAGAGTAATTAAGAACTGCTGTTATGTGATATAAAAATCGGAAAAGGTCAGTTTCAGGCATTCAAGTAAATTTATGCTTGTGAAAAGCTCTCAAAATATCCAGTGAGTAGTAATACACAACCTTTCAACTGCTTGACATGAACAACAGCATTTCAGTATGTGCAAGATTCAAGTTAGCATTACTAAACTCCAGAAATGGAACCTTTTTGTGCAATTTGTAATTACAAGAAATCTGTGTTAGATCACAAATGCAACTGGCTTTTTATTTGTATAATAACAATCTAGCATAATGGGAAATTCTGATTAAATAGAATACCAACAATGGAAGAAAAGGTAGTATCTAGAAAAAACAAGGTGTCCTGAAATTAGGTACACAAGAATTACAATATTTGCTCTGTGTTTGATAAGAGTTTTTTGATTTGCTGGATTCATTAGCAAACCAGCTAAGAGCTGTTAGTGTCCATCTCTACTTCTCTTAATTGTCCTCTTGGCTGTAACAACAAAAGTCTACCTAGGGTAATACCATATCATCTGTCCAGATCAAGATTAAGAGAACTTCCCCCACACCAGTATGTTTTATATTCTGGAAGCTCTTGCACTAGACTTGGTAAATCCAGTAAAGAGTCCAATGACAAGTATTCAAAATGCCTGCAAAATTACATCATAAAAAAATCAAAGCTGGTCTGTTTCAAAAAGGGAATTTCATTAGAAACAGACTTTCTCTGAACCCTGAGAATTTATTGTTGCACTTAGCCTTTCAAAATAATAAGGAAAAAAAACAAAATTAGTATTAGACTCCCACATTAAGTCAGTAAAGCCCCTAGCCAGTCAGTAAGAACTGATAGTTACCTGGATCTGAGAAGCATGCAAATCCATGGTGATGATGTGGTCAGCCCCTGCAACCGATAGCATGTTGGCAACAAGTTTTGCAGAGATTGGAGCACGACTCTGAGGAATAAAGCACAAATGTTTGCATTTTACTAGATTACTAGATGCAAGGAGTCAGAAAATTGGCTTCTTTTATTGTTTGTTTTTTTTTCCTTTTAGAATAATTGGATTCTAGACATGAAGAGCACCAGAACTCTAGTCAAACTAGCCTGTCAGTAGCTAATCTTGTTATGAGTGTTTTGAAATTCAGCAAAACGTTTATGAATATCTAAATCAGTTTATAGTCCGCCTAATATTGCTTTGTAGCAATTAGACCTACAAGTAGATAAAATTTGTGATATTATTTTTCAATTCTTCCATTTAAAACTTTCAGCTACCTTTTCCACAGCAGACAATCTCCATTTCTGTAAGCCACTACCCTACATTAACACCAACTCTCAAGCAACTATCCTGTTCTCAAAAATACTGCCAAAAACAAAGACTGAAGGCAGAGTGAACCTAACTTTGAAAACACTGCTTAAAAAAAAAAAATTAGTATCAAGCATTTCTTCAAGATACAGTAAAGCTTACAACAGATCTATGCTGGCAGGGGTTCTCTACCCTGGCCTGTTGTTGTTGTTTTTTTGTTTGTTTGTTTTTCTAATTCATACTTAATCGTTAGATGCAATTTGGGGCCAAGAATTCCCAAAAGGGACAGAAGGAGGGAGGATGAAAAAAAAAACAAACAAAAAAACCAACTGAAGTGGAAAGAACAAAAGAGCAGCAAAAAATCTAATTATGAAGTTAGTGCCAATGTCAAGTATTTTTTTAAAAGTTCCAAGGATACAGAATAAACAGCAACATTAAAATACAGAATATGAAAAAATCATGACAGAAGGATATCTCACTCTTTTTTTTTTGGCAACTCCAAAGTTTCTTCAGATTTTTTTTCAAGCTCTGAAAAAAGCTGTCACCCTAGACAACTTTCCCTGTAATAGAAATACTTCACAAAACCTTCTGTTTTCTTTTTGCCAGTCTTTAAATACAGCTAATAACTGGCGATAACATTAGCCTGAAGGCAGAACTCCAATTCAGAGGTTTCATCTCACTATCAGATTCTGGTTTTTTTGCTGGCACAGTGTTCCCTCCTGCTACACCTCTACCAAGCAGCACCATTTAGTCTAAGAAACTCCTCCCCCTCCAGCCCATACACACAGAGTATCTCTGCTCTCCTTCTATTGATGCTCATGGGCACAACCTAAAATAGTTATTGGTAGGAACCACCACCAATTCAGCCTGGATGCTTTTCTGTCTGCTTCATATCAAAGAGCTAGTATTTTCCTCAAAATTTTTGCTAATTTAAGTGAAAATTCAGCATTTGTCTGTTTTAACCTGTAGATTGCCAACATACTTCTAGAGAAGAAATGGAGACATTGCAGTCTCTTATGGCTGGTTCAAGTTTATCATCATTACAAAAATTTTTCATTTTGAAAGCCATCCCTTTTGTTTTTTAAGTTTTAGAGAATATCACCACCATTTGGTCTGTGTAAGATACACAGAAGATATGCAACAGTTAGCACTCCCCTAGATCTCTGCAATTCAAATGTGTATAGGTTCCATAAGAGTTTGCTATTACAGTGATTCAGTCCAGGTGATTTTCCCATTATTGAGGGCAATGCTGCTCCTCATTTCAGTTCAGCTTTGTAAAGGCCTGAGTCAGCAAAAGCTTTCTGGCTACTTCTATTATTAGTAGGAAATTTTCTGTTTGTGCCATTCAAGTTCCTGACCATTGCAGATCATCTTGGCATTACAAACTAACATTTTTAAGCTGGGCTTCAAAGTATTTTTGGATGTCTGGCAACATCTAATAAAACAAAGACTTACTATCTATCTTATAATATCTTTGTAATATATACTTTAAAGTTACAGCTAAACTGGACTTCAGGTGATGTTGAAACAAGAGGTCTGCTCCCCTGCTTGTCCCTTCCCTTCTTTCCAGGCTATACACTTTCACCATTTTCCTTGTCCTGCACACCAGGACTCGTCTGAACTTACAGCAGCCAGATGAAGCAGCCCAATTGAAAAAGAAGGGAAAAGAAGATGGCAAACTAGGACCACCCCGTCTGGTAGAAACAATTAACTAGTTCTGGCTAGCTGTTAAAGGCAAATTACATTCTTCCCAGGATGTCATTTACAAATTCCACTGCATCTGTCATACTGAATTTTGCTCCCCCCTCCCCATTTCTGTTCAATGTGAATACCACTTCACTTGCCTCACGTGTCAATATACTGAGTATCTTCACAAAAAACAAAACCCAGAATACTTTCCTTTTATATTCATCATAAAAAAACCCCAAAATACGTTCCTCTATCAAATACTAATGTATACATTACCAGTCGGTACCTCTTTCAGCTGCTTGACCTTGCAGGCTGCCTTCCCAGAAGGAAAAACTTGAAGATTTTACCACTAGGTAACTTGTTCTAGCAGACACGTACACATCACAGATTGCCTATGTGTTGGTGGACAGAGGGTCTTGGAAGGAAAGACAGCCAGACACTCATAGCTGTTTCTCAAGAATGGGACAGTAGGAGATTAAGAAAAATGAAGCTTGCAGCTATCTGACAGTTTCCTTTATAGAAAATTGTGCATTAGAAGAAAACATACGACATGCTCAAAAGGATTTAAGATTTGATGACTTGCACAGAAAATAGGTTTTGTGCTACAATATGATCCAAATAGAAGATTATTTTAAAAAAATCAAAGGAAGCATATTCATGGGAACCTCAGATAACCTGGCCTCATTATTCAGAAACTTGAATGACAAAGGTAGATGAGAACTCAAGCTTTTCTTTATCCTGGAGTTTTGTACGGCTTGCTTGTGATCAGAGAGACAAGAACACAAAGACATTCACAGTATTTATTAATTGTTCATGCTTTGACACAATTTGAAATTAGTTTCAGGATTATTATTGTGAAACACAACATTGCATCTTGAATGACAAAGGTAGATGAGAACTCAAGCTTTTCTTTATCCTGGAGTTTTGTACGGCTTGCTTGTGATCAGAGAGACAAGAACACAAAGACATTCACAGTATTTATTAATTGTTCATGCTTTGACACAATTTGAAATTAGTTTCAGGATTATTATTGTGAAACACAACATTGCATTATGTTCCCCAAACAAAACAGTGAGTTTTTAATTCCTAAGCAAAATTCCCTGCTTATATATAACAAAATATATAATTATGTCTTCCTTTGTGATGCATTACAAATGTATTCACAATTCTTACAAGGGGCAGAAGGAAATCCACAAAGCTAACAACCTCACAAGTGTAAGTATGCAAGGACAAGTAGCTGAAAGTAAAAGTTGTCCATCGAGATTAAAGCTCTATTGCCTTTAAGCATCTTATTAAATTGTCTTGCTCAAAATGCATCACATGCATGCTGGACAAAAAAATGCAAATAAAAAATCCCAAAGATTTATAACTGGAACTTTCACTTCCAAGAAAGCCAGTTGTGATGTGTACGGATACCAAATGTTCACTAATGCGTTAGCTAAATTTATTGTTTAAAAAATGAGATATGCTTTGAAGCTTCAGAAGTTGACAGCCATTGTCTTGAACATCCAGATAATTTTTTAAACTTCAAGGTAGGAGTTTTCTAGTACCAAATTATTCCACAGAATTACTGTCATGGCCTAGGTGAAACACAACTGAACTCAAGAAGTGAAACTGAAAATGTTCCCAGTTATACATAATGTAACCCAGTAAGTTTCACCCTTTAAGGCCATATTAGTGGAAATGCATAGCGTTAGATTAAAAAAATAAAGATACCTACCCAACGTTCCACGGACCCCTTCTACAAATCAAAAAAACAAAGTTACATGAGCTGTAGAACACCAAACTCACCTGTCATTCTACTTCTAACTTATCTCAAAGGCATCTCTGTAGCATCTTACATAAGTGTGTCCTGCCTATGGCTTGGAAAGTTAGCCTAATTAGAAGATACGTAAATGGAACAATGGACAAAGCACAGATACACCTGAGCTAATTATAAATTAGGTAGCTTGTGTATCTAATGTTATGGTAGTTCTTGTTTGCATCTAAATTAATTTACCAACTTTTCTATGATTCTCAGCAAGCCTGTTTTTTTTAAAACTTGTTTCTCATTTAAAAGCTAGCCCAGGTTAAGTCCTAAAATTTCCAGAGTAGACTACACAGGCCTTGTTCAAACTATATATATTTTTTTTTATTGCAAAGTCCTTTCCTTTAATAAATAAATCAAAAGCACTTCCATTATTCTCAGAAACCATAACTGCAACAAAGGCATGAGGAATACAGTTATTTCAAGCAGGAAGAACTGAGCCTATGTAGTTATTTATGCATTAAAGTCAACACCTTAAGTTCAAACCAGAAAGCATCATCTAGCTAGTAAAGATTATACTGCTTCAGTTCATAGGCAAGGAAATTACAACAGTATCTTTCATCAGTGAGGAAAAAAATCTTTGTATAACTACAGGAAGAAAATGGCTGGCACTTTACTGGCGCTTCAGGCAGTGTACAAAGCTTGTACATTCAACATGGGTCAAAGATCAAGTGACATGATGCAATCCAACAACAGGAAGAAAGATCTCCCTGTCAATAAGCTGCCCAATATTGACAAGTGTATTATAGCTCATTTTGCAACATGGAGGTCAACTACCAAGGTTAGTGTCCAAACATGGCAAACATTTTCTCAATTGCAAAACAGAGGTTAAATAAAAAGAAATGGCTTGCCTAGAACTCCAGGAGAACTCTGTGACACCCAGAGAACAGTCTAGAAAAACACTCAAAATACCTGTTAATCAAAATCACTTTCCTAGGCTGCCCACCTTCAAATGGCCTTTCTAAAAGACAAAATGGTCCTGGGTGGCATGTTGGACCCCCACACTGTGGGTGTCTCTTGGAAGTCTGCCACATGGATTTTGGGTACCCTTGACAAGGTATAAGCTCAATGCATGGAAAACTTGGGACAGACTCATCCTTTTCCCACATCAAGAACCTACAGGATGGTCCAGCAGAATTTTCCAGTATTAATTTGGAAATCAAAATATACCGAGATGCCTTCCTTCCCTTTCAACAATGTTTACTATTTCCCTGTCAAGCTCCTTTGACAGAAACAAGTATCTCAGCTCTCCTGATCAAGGGAGAACATCATTCAATACAAAACACCACAAAAATGAAGTTCCAAAAGATGGAGGCAAAGAATAGGGATCTACTACGTAGTTCCTGAAACCTCCTTTTGGAAGTATAGCAAGTATGTCTTGATATTGTTTGCATGATGTTAGAGACCCTGCAATTAAATAATGAACACAATTGAAAAATAACTTTTTTGTATTTAGTGTCATTCTAAGACATATCAGGCTGATCATTACATATTTTCTAAAATCTGCTATTACTTTTAGATCCTGCATTACTTCTCAGTCCTGTCACGTTTTATATATAAGAAGGTAAGGAACAGCAGAAGGCTTTCAGGATGGTCTGCTTAATGTTCAAAGTGAAAGGAGGGACCAGTCCATTTATGGGAAGTATTAGATAGGGGCAATTTTCCAGAAAGACAACCAATGAAAGACAACCAATGCAATCCAATCTTAAAAGCCAAATTTACATTCATTCTTGTTCTGTCCAAGTGAATGTAGGTAACAGTAACATTCACATAGCATATTAGAGGTTTCTGCATACTTAGTAGAGATGGAAAAGTTTTGGTTCTTTTATTAAAATAGAAAAAAAGTAAAAAAAAATAAAAAAAATATCAAACTCACCACAAAGGGTTTGGACTAAAATATTTATCAGTTGTGGCAGACCAAATTAAGGAGAAGGACAACAGAATCAAAAAAGCATTTTTGGGGTTTCCATACAATTTTCGGTTTGCATCAATTATCACAGATATAAAACCTTTTTTAAAAATCTGCTTTGAAGTATAAAATAATGTTTTTATTAATTACTGTTACGCATTGAAGATTTAATCAGTTCCTTCCATTTGGCTCTCTGCTTAACTATTTAGGGTAAAACTCACTGACATAATGGTTACAGCACTTCAAATTTGGGATTTAATTCCACATAAATAATTAAAATGTTTATAAGGGTGTATTCAGTTTACATATATATATAGATGCGAGGAAAAAAAAAAAAAGCTAGAAAGGCAGGAAAAACAGTTCCACAAAGTAAGGTCTGCTAGCAGAGTATCCTACAAGGTAACACACAGACAGGCTGTACCTCTTCAAACTGAAGGAGTGTCAATTATCAAAACACAAGCAAAAAGTAATTTATTGTCTCTGTTCATCTACAGACAATATAAACATTTTACCAAAAAAAATAATAAAAAAGCAAATCTGTGATGTCAGTTGAATTTTTGTGACAACATTTCACCTCCAAAACTTTCAAGTGAACAAGCTGCAGAAACAAAAAGCCTTCTAAGATGACAGTTCTTACCTACCTTGTCTTTCTTATCTTGCCTGGCATATGGAAAACATGGAATTACAGCTGTCACTCTGGAGGATGATGCAATTTTGCAAGCATTGATCATGATGAGCAGCTCCATTAAGTTGTCATTTATTTCTCCACAGCCACTCTGGATGATATATACATCTTCTCCTCTCACACTTTCACCAATCTCTACACTGAAAGAGAAAGAGAGGACCATTTAAATACCTGAATTACTGGAAAAGCATTAATAAAGAATAAAAAAAAAACAGCTTTGTTTTAATAAGCTTTCATAGGTTTATGCGCATTTAGATTACTTTTTTACTGTAATTTGGATACGTGTCCCCTTGACACAGTGTCTACTAAGCAAGGCCAAAATTCACTGCAGCCTAAAATATGGTCTCTATAAGGTCAGTGCCAACCAACATGTAATCATCGCTATAGCACCATGACTAAACAGCTCTCATGTTTTGTCAGTTATTTGCTCTAGCTGTGCCTACACACTTTGGCTCCTTATGATAGTATTCAAGTTATTTTATTCACCCAAAGATTTCAAGGCAAATTCTGGCACTGACCACTGCTAACACCACAGAATTAAAAAATTAAGTATAGCTTATAATTAAACTGGAAAATTAAAACAAGTCACTCAAATGTGGAGACTTTTTCAATCTGAACCTGAGCAAGAAAAATCTACTGCTGAATCACACTAACTTACCACACCTGTTTCTCCAAAACTTATGCATAAAACCAGCAGACTAACCTTCAGTTTTTTTCCCCTGAACCCATGCACAAAGTACAAGAAACATACAAACTTCCTAAATAATGATGTGATCAGACCTTTAAATCCATGCTTTACTAAGTTAGTCTTAATTATTAAGCAATAAAATACCTTGGGCCCCAATTTAGAGGATTGCATCTTTACCCAAGACAAAAATAAGCAAAAGCTTCTAGCTGAAAACCATCCAAATGGCCCAGATGTGGGTAGAATAATTTGATGGGTCCTTCAATGCTGAAGCTTGTTCTAGGCACTGCACGAACAACTTTCATTTATCAGCTTTCAAGGTGCTGTGTAAGACTCCTTGGTTTTCTGTAGCTACAAAATACAGAAAGGAATTTACTGCTTAAAAACATCTTAATGGCATGCAAACAGTTGATTTATTACCATCAAGATAGTGGAGTCCATACTCTCAGCACCCCCTATTTGACTCCTCTGCAGTCCCAAACAAGCTTGAAAAAGACTGTCTTCATTTTTTTCCTTAACGAAATACATTTTTTCCCTGAGAATGCTACTAGGAGGATTTCTTAAGGTCAAAAAGCAAATCATCCAGCAAACACCAGGATCTCTGGAAGGACAGAGGTACTCAGAGACAGTACCATCTGCAGATATGGTGGTGTTAACCCATAAAACCTATTAGAGGCTTCTCCATAGCACAAACCCACAATTTTTGGTCATAAAACTGCAACTTCCCAAGCTTCTGATGAACAGAATAGAGCTGTTCAGAGAAAACTGTTTGGATAAAAATATTTTCTTGGTTTGTTTTCCTTTTTGGAGCTGAAGTAGTTTTGGTCAGTGTAACAACTCCATCAAGACTCTAAACATATTCCACAGGCTTAATCAGAAATCCTACCATAACCAGTTCTGGTGTTGGAACATCAGAGTTCCACTTCCTAAAAGAATGTACAAAGCCAAATAAATAAATTGGGAAACCTGTCACTGCTTCTGAACACATAACTCCAGCTCCGAGAAATGCATCTACCCACTAGCTTATCATCCTTACTAGATCAATCATCCTTACAGATTCTTGGTCATAATTATGAGAGCTCTGAAAAATTATAATTGCCACTTGACTCTGCACATACACAGACCTGCTTAATAATAAGTGTTGCCACATACCATACCTTTGAAATAGGTCCAAAAAAGAAAACCACTACATGCAAAAGCCCTACAGCACCTCTTTCAACCCAGGTTACATGCCAGAACTGAATATTAACCTAGGAGCCATTACAAAGGAGAAAAAAAAAAAAAAATAGAAAAAGACTAAGAAACCCCATAAACTTTCAGAGAAGAACATTCTTGGAAGTGACAAAGCAGGATAGAATATGATTTCAGTGCTTGACAAAAAAAGTAACCACTAGTTTCATAGACATGCATTATGAAAATACTGAGTGAAAAAAAATACACAATATTATTGTTAATTATATATACAAAGAACACCAAATTACAACACTTGGAGTTGCTTTACTCCTGTAAAAAGCAGCCACTTCTAAGCACACCTTTAAGAAATTACAGGTTTCAGAAAGTCAGGGAATATATTTCAAGATACATATACATCTGGTTTATACAGTGGACCTGAAGTGATGCTTCTTCCATTTTTCAATGAACTTGGGCTAGCAGCTTTTTCTTCTTGTAAAGAACTTAGAAAACAAAAATGTTACCACTACTTTCTCTCTCAGTGCATTTGAAAAAGTTTTGGTTATGCTCTTCAGTCCAGAATGACATACTTACTTGGCACACAGAAATATTATTTTGTGTGTATATGTGTATATAGTAATACCTTTTCTAGTAGACACAAAAGTTACGTGCAAACTAAACTAAATCAACCTTCAATTAATACTTGCATAGCACTCAGGAGTCAGCCAGCTAAAGGTACCAGAGAATAGCATAATGTAATTATCACCCAAAGATCTCCTCCCGATCAACTGGAGACAGCTGTGCAACAGATCAGCACATCTTATTGTCTACCTTTTCAAAGACTGGTATTGAGAGGTATTGTGTAGACTCAATCAACAGACACACAGCTGCCTATTTTACCTTCATCAAACCCCAGAGTAAAAGAGAACCAGTCCTGTTGCAAACTATTCCATCAGACATTGACCGCACCAACCACATTGGAGGCGTGTCGGGTCTTTTCATTGTTCTTGTTGTTTTGTTTGGTAGCTTCAGGGTTTTTTTTTCCATTCTTTCTTAGTTTGGGGTTTTTTTACCTTTTTTAACATTCAGCTATGAAGAGGCAAACAATAAGAATCTAAAAACTACAGTCCTAGGTATCTGCAGTATTGTACTTCTAATGTATCTATTGGAGAACACTAAGCGAACAGCAGTCAAACTTTGTGACAGTCACCTTATCAACCTTACTACTAAATTCCACTTAGACCACCTATATCATGACCTAATTAACTGTTTGGGGGTTATTTAAACAATTTGTCATGCTGAGAACACATAGGAAGGACACAAGACCAAGCTCTTGCCTCAAGATTACAAGCTCTGTTTGTTTTATGCAATTTAATCAAATTCAGCTATTTGGTAACACAGTTTATTTAAACTTCTTGTTCAAGAAGAGTCAACAGAACCTGTACATTAAAGCTCTGACATGACACAACTGTGTTTTAAAGAAAAAAATTCAAAAGTTAATAGCCCAAAAAAGTAATTAACTTTGAGCTGGTTGATTGGAATCCATAAGCACAAGGCTGTAGCTGGGAAAGATACAGCACATGATGAAATCCAGTTTTGAGTGTTGGTATCTGCCTTCATCTTGCAAAGGTTGATTTGAGAGGTCAATTTAATAATTAGAAACCTGAACAGACTCCTGACCAATTAAGGATAAGGCTCAAACCCCACAAACATTAAAAACAGATTTAAATGGCTGAAGCATCCATTAAGCAAAATTCAAAAGCAGGCACTTTTAATAACCAGAGAAGAGGTCAAAATTTAAGGTCTAGAGTCCTCATGCAATGTGCAAAAAATAAAAATCAATATCTCAAAAGTGATTAAAAAAATCCAGATGCTGAATTGGCAGTTCACTGAAACCCAGCCAATGGAAAGCACTAATCTGAGGGGTGTGTTTGACCTCTTACTTTTGGGAACACATTTTGCAGAGTTAAGTCTTTTAACACCAGACCTCCAGCTTACTGTGCAAATATTTCAACTGTTGTGATGTTATACAACAAAGCAGGTCCCAGCAAAGCCTGAAGCAACAAAGAACCAATGCAATGCCAGAGTTAATTTTAAGTGTATAGGAATCCCATATCTTCTGACACCCATGAGCTCTTCCACTTTGACTAACAGGTCCAAGACCAACCCCCAGCTAGATCTTAATTCACAACTGCCCTGTCCTAATGGTGGGCACTGGCATGGTAAGTACCACAAGATGGGAAATAGCTTCTTACACTCCACTCTGGCACACAGCCTGCCACCACAAGAGGAATGCATCTTCATTTGAGCAGCCCTGGGTTGAGTCACATGTAGTCCAAAAGGAACTCTCATAAACTTGGAAATAAAGGTCTAACAAGCCTGAGGACAGGCAGAGAGCCTTCAAAGGCTGAGTACCAAACTGCAGCTAAGGACATGTGGGATTGTCAGCTATTATCCACACAGGTAATTTTTGTTGTTTCTAGTTTCCAAGCATTTAGTATCAATTTTAAAAGTGTACAGTATACAGCAAATTCATCAAAAGTGGAAGACTCAAAATACAAGGTTTGAAGCATTTTTGGACCTTTTATGATTCAAAGCAATTAAAGATGTGATAAATAGCCATATTTTTTTGCATCTTCAATTCCCTATATAAACAAAACATTCACAACATACAATCCAGAAACAAATTTTATCTTTTTCAACCAAGCTGGGAAAAAAATGTTTCTGCAATCTCCCCTTTCTCAAGACAGCATAAGCAAGCAGGGATAGAAAGAAACAGCAGCCTCTGCTGCTGCAGGCAAAGCATAACTCCAGCTGTGAATCACTTGCTCAGCATCTGGGTAATATGAACAGTCACTTCACATCCCAGCATGTCTCTATTCCCTACTGCCTACAGCTGATTTAACACCAGCTTATCACCTGAGCTTGCTTACTCCACGATTAGGGGTCCTCAAACACTATAACCATCTACTCCAGGGAGGGTGTGCAGCTCATAGCCATGACAGTGGCTGAACCCAAAGGAACCAGGTTACAGGAGATGTAGTGAGGTGATGTCTTATCTGAGGCAACTGCAGCAGAAGAGCTGGAGGATTGTGAAGGGGACACAGCAGGGATATATTACAGCCCGGTGCCAAATTGTTCATTCTTGATTATATAGCACTGATATGAAAGTTTCCAGGTTTATTCCCATTTTTTTTTCAACTATTTGTTTCATGGAACAAACTGCTTTCATTACCCCACTCTGTGTGAAATAGAAATTCACATCCATTCTTGTAAGATTTCTCCAAGGACACATCAGCTATTTTTTC